GGACAGTAAGTTTTTGTGTCTTGACTCCTTTACTCTTTTTTTATATGAAGGTATAAGTTAAAGGTAAAACATGAAAATCTGGCGGAACTGATTGAAGAAATAGTCTAGGAAATCAACAAAGTTAGTTCAGAATTTGCTGAGCGTGCCCTTCAAAATTTCAATTTATGTTATATTCACTTGGGGAAGTTATATACCCATATAACTTTTTACACTTAAATTGAAAGTATTTATGAAGTCAGTGGTATATAATTAATTTTTTTTTTTTTTAATAAAGTTATAAAACATTCAAAATCTTCAGTTATTTTTGACCCACCCTTTACTATATTTTAATTTAAAAACAATCAATATTATCAATTAGATGCAACAATGTAAAATATTATAGCACCTTTACAAGAGTGCCATACAATAGAAATAATAAGTTTGAGAATATTTTCATTAATTTTTCAAATCATTACATTAATGAAGTCATTAAATCAAAAAAAATGTTTGGGTAATTCATATAAAATTGTATTTTTAAATCTTATTGCTAAAAATCTATGTTCTGGTATTAGTTTGACAAAAGGCGGGAAACAATTACCAACTTACTTCATAGTTGCATTGGATTATCATATACTAAATGTAAAGCTCAATTAAGTGCTAGTTTGATTCATTTGTCTTAGAACCATATAATACGTATAGAGTGCTTTAACAAACTGTAAATTTGTTTAAATTAATTAATCAACTATTACAATACTTCAAATATTTTTAAACTTACAGCAATGAAAGATTTTAAGCATAATTTATACATGTAAAATCCCATTATATTGGTTTGCATATTTGTTCTTGCTATCATAAACATTAATAATTGTCGAACGTTTTTATTAGCGCGCCACCAAGGTACATTGTACAGAGCAACACTTATACTTGATTGCTTCAATTTTTTAATAATAAAATAGAATAAACTGCTAATATTTAGCTGATTAATTTGAAATATAAATTACCTTTTGTAATATATATTCACCGAAAAAATTGTTCAAAAATTGATGATATAAACTAATGACAACAAAAAGTACTAATGCAATTGATTCACCAGTTCCAAAGCTCATCTAAAAGGTAAATTTGTATTTTCATTACTAGTTAAATTTTTCAATTCAAAGACGCTTTGAATTACATACTTGCATTTGAAATANGTTACTAGTTAAATTTTTCAATTCAAAGACGCTCTGAATTACATACTTGCATTTGAAATATAGCAAACGTTAATGAAGTTATCGCATGCATATAATCAACTAGTATAAGATAATTATACATATTTCGTAATTTTCGTATGTAC